CCTTTGCTAGGTTGTGATGACCACCTCAGTTCAATGCGTTCAGCCACAAAAGACACCAGAGAGACTTTATGCTTTCAACCCAGGCCTTTCTAACTGGTTTCACACCTTGGTATACCAAAAGGGACACTTTGTGGAGTGTATCCTGGGATAATGGGTTGAGGTTATTTCAGATAGAGGTGACAGGCCCAGAAAACTCCAGCTGGAAAATTCAGGTAAGCTATTTATAATCCAAAGTCACATCATCATCCCAAATCCTTTTAGATCTCCAGAACTTCTAAGAGAAGACAAAAAGAAAGTATTAAAAACATAACTTCATGGGGGGCTGGGGATTTAGCTCAGTGGCACAGTGCCTGCCTGGCAAGCGCAAGGTCATGAGTTCGATTCCTGGTACCAGAAAAAAACACAAACAAAAAAAAACCATAATGTCATGGAGACGGGTTACTATCTCTGAGCACCTGTGGAAGAGCAGCCTTTAGCCTCCAGAAAGGGCCCAAGTGGGTTATGTGCGGTGTTTTGTTTGTTTTTATTTTTTGGCAGTAGTGGGGATTAAACCCAGGGAATGCTGACTACATCTCAGCCCTCTTTATTCTGAGACTCAAACTTGCAGTCTTCCTGCCTCTTGGGGAGCTGGGACGGATGATAGGCATGCACTACCACATAGGGGCCACATATGTTCTTGAGATATTACCTCGGACAAAGATGTGACCTCTCTTGGCTGTTTCTCTGTGCAGAAAGGGGAGGACAGGCCGCAGGGCATCATAGAGCAGGTGCAGGAGGTGTAGTGAGTTTGCCCGCTAGGTGCAGATGCGGAACTGTCAAGGGAGGTGGATGATGCATAACTAATGCTTGAGGTAAAGTGAGAGGATGAAAACAGCTTCCCATATTTGGAGGAGCTTTTGTTTGGTTGTAAAGGGTGAGTGTGCTTTCCTTTTCTTCTCTTTTTTCTGTTTTCCTTGTGCTGTATCCCTGTTCTCTTTAAACTGAGACTCTGACCGTATTTATTTCTGATGTCACTGAGTGTGCAAGGGAGGAAATACGGGCCTGGATGACAGAGGGCCCAAAACCAGCACTGTGGCAAAGACGAAGAAAAGAACGAGGATGTTCAGTGTCCTCCAGGCCTGGAGGCCCCTTGGACAATTCCCCCTACCTATTCAACCAGACAATTTTAAAGATTCACATAAACAGGAGGGTGGCGATGTCGGGGGAACTTGTTTTCAAAGCAGTTCATCATTTCTCAGTGGGACGTGACTGTTTCGGGGTTACAGGTGACCGTGGACCTGTGTATGTAAATGTGGGCCAACGTCCATAAACAGAAACAGCCTTCAGGAAGTTTTTTTTTTTAATTTTAGGCAGAAAGCAACATCTAGATTCCTATGGATAATCACAGCTACCTGAAACAGAATCTTTCCACATATTTCCAGAAACTACACCAATTAACAGCAAGAGCACATTAAACCACACAACCCGGTCTGGATGGGGATAGAGATAGAATTCTAGCTTCCTAAGAGGTCCTTAATGGTGAATGAATGAATATATCAATGAATGGCTGAGCCACACAGGAGATAAAGCTACTAAGGACAATTTACTTGGTAGATGACAGACCTGCAGGCCCAACAGTCCTGACATGCTGGCTTTATGGGCCAACATCAATAGGAAAAAATATAATTAGGATCCAAATTAAGGCCCTAAATTTAGGGTCAGATAATTTAACACAGCAACAAACGTAGGAAAACCAGACTAAACCACGCTGTAGGACAACAGTTTTTAAGATGTTAGTCTTAGGGTCCTTTACTTCTGTTTGTGGTGTTTTTGTTTTAATTTTGTTTTGTTTTATTTGTTTTCTGAGACAGGTTCTCACTATGTAGCCCAGGCTGGCCCTGAATTTATAATCTTCCTGCTTCAGCCTCCCCAGTCCCTGAGGAGAAAGCTCAATTTTTGTCATTGGTAATATGTCCTGGCAGGTGTTTTCCTTAAAGTGACAGGCTTATCCCATTTTTAAGTAGATGTCTGCTACAGAACTAAGTCTGAATAACCAGGTTGTCCGTCATTGTCTCACCAAAAACAGTGTTCCAGGAGCAAAGCAGCTAATTTACTTATGCAGCATCAGTGATTCTTGTCAAGAAGGCTCCTCCCTCATATCAAGCCTGCTAAATTTCTCCTTATGTTGTAAAAGGTGTTTTTCTGTTTGCTCTGGGTGTTCCTGCCAATCCTCAACCCCTAGGGAGAGGGAGAGGAGCCGGAAACCAAACACCAAACAGACAAGTGGTCAGGCTCCTTTCAGGAGGCTGGGAGGAAATCTGAGTTCCAGCTGTTTGTAACCTTTGCTTTGGGGGCAAATCCTCTGTGCATCAGGAGGAACTTCCTGCACCAAGAGGCCTGTGAGTGCCACCGGGGCTATGCATTGAGCAGGGCGGGTGGGTGCTCCCTCCTCTAATGTGACAAGAACACAAAAAACAAATCTTTTTACCTCTTTTTTTAATTTAGGAAATGCTTGAGTTCACACCCCAGGCAGCAGGCCCAAAGACTCTGCAATGGGGTTCCTGACCTCCAGGGGCTCACTGTCTGTGTGTGTGTATGTGGGGGGGATTATCTAAAGACCTGGTTGCTAGGGAAGATCCAGATTCCTCAGCAAGTCCTGCAAGGATCTGCAGGATCTGAGCCTTGTGGCCAGCTCCAGCCTCCGTCCCTGTTTCTCCTCCCACCCGATGGCTCAGCCCCAACCAGCGTGCGGGTCCCTGAGCAAGTGCTCCTCTGCCCCAGCCCACCCAAGCTGGCCAGGACCACCTGCCGGCAGCCGTTCCCATCTGCAGCAGATCCCAGCTGGAAGAAGGGGAGGGCTGCGGCTTCATTCAGTTCTGAAATGTAATTGTCACCTGGGATTGCACATTTCACTTCCTGAATTGAGAATGTTTTGTGATTTAAAAGTAACCACGGCTTTGGGTTTGACCTCAGGTTGGCCAGAAAGTGTTGAGGTTTTCTCCGTTTTCATCCAGGAACAAGGAGAACCAAAACCACTTAAAATATAAAGAACAGGAGAAAAAAATAAATCGGCATGGGAACATCCCGGGAACCACGTTTGCTCAGCCTCTCTGGTTCCACGTTTACCTGCCTTCAATTGCGCTTCTTTCCTGCCGAGGGAAGGGCTTCGTGGAGATCTCGTGCTCAGCGGAGACGGGGTGGTGCGGGGGAGGGATGAGGCTGGCAGGCAGGCAGGCTTGGGCCTGGGAGCATGTTCTGGGATGAGACCAAAGACTTGGTTCTCCCCAGAATCAGCCCCCAGATGCGGCAGGGTCTCTCAAGAGGGCCTGAGAATCTGTCAAGGGCAGTTGCCCTAGTGCAGAAACTTCCTAATACAAATGCACCCCGGGAAGGCAAGGTGACTGCAAATAAGAATCAGCCAAGGTGGAGATGCCAGATACCGGGTCCTTTCCTGCTGGTACTGTGCTGGCACAGCAGGCATCAGGGAGAGGATAGTGACCCATTTAAAATGAAGGGTCACAGGGGGCTGGGGATTTAGCTCTTTGGCACAGCGCCTGCCTGGTAAGCGCAAGGTCGTGAGTTCAGTTCCCGGTACGGGGGGGGGGGGGGGGACGACAATAAAATGAAGGGTCATAAACCAAAGACAAGAGGAGGTCACATGGCTAGCTGATCACTCCTGTGCACTGCCTTAATCCCGCTGCCCTAATCTCACTGCCCCAAGGGACATGCAGCCTGTTGTAATATGAAAGGTAAGGCTTGTTGGAGACCACTACAAAGTGGCTCCGAGCAAGATTTAGTATTAATCAACTGGTTTTCCGTGTTTACTTGTGAGTTGTCTGAAGGCCACAGCTGAGGATGTGTGGCTCCAACCCCAATTAACTTAAAGGAGACTGCAGCTGCAGGCATCTCACTCCTGCTGTGAAGGCCTTCCTGGAGATAACATAGTTCTCCTAAATTAACATAACCTTTTACTTAGAAAAGTCCTGCCCAGGTTTTCTTGAGTATCCTCCTCCTTTGTTTGTAAACCAAATAAATACGGCCGCCCAGAGTAGTCTTTGGCTAAACTCAGAGTATATCAAAGTTGTAAGAGAGTTAGTCCCTCCTGGGGCGCTAAAATCATTGCCATTGCCTCATTTATTGAAGCCTTCCCGTCCACTCGCTTGGGAGATTGCGGGCCTGATGAGCCGTCAATAACTTAGGGTTATTTAACCCAGTTTTCGATAAAGGCTGACAGGTTAGCAAGTGCACCAAATCACACCAGTAAAAGTGAAAGCTGGGATTTAAATCTGTGGCTCCAGACCCCACTCATATCAGGCCATACTGCCTAACTCTGGGTCAAAAGCCCTCATCTCCTTCTTCTGTCTGCTGGGAGGCAGGTGTGAGTGAACTGCATTTCAGAGCTGTGGCTGAGGACCATGTATGATGAGCACATGCATGGGCTCCTCGCAGGGCAGGGGACAGAACGCTGAGGGCAGCGGCTGGGAAGGTCACGGCTCTGCCCTGCCAGGTGTACCCTGCCTCTCCAGCCTGGGGCCGCCACCCGTACTTCCATGTACCTGCCCTGTGAGCAGGCTCACTGTCCGCTCTGGCCGACAGACAGCAACCAAGCTGGGCACGTCCTTTGACACCTAGGTGAGTCAGCACCTGGATCACACGCCTACCAGTGAGGGGAAGGCCGTGGAGCCCCCACAGGGCTGGTCGAGAGCAAGGAACAGCAACTCTCTCCAAAGCCCTGGTCCCCTTCACTGTTTCTCCTGGTGCAAGGCCTGGGGCAGGATCACCCCACTCCTGTGAAAACGGTGTGTCTCTGCCAACTGCTGACAGAGTCCCCCAGTTGCGGGGCCGGGTTCAGGTTATCTCCTGAGGACCTCCCTGATCCCCTCTGTGCTTCAGGGACATCTCTAAAGAATGGTCTCTCTACGTCGCTGTCTACTTACCTGAGCCCTCAGCACTCAGTATGACAGCACACAGTAGGGGGGCAACCCCTGTCTGGGGAATATCAATTGAGGAGAGACAGGAAGTTTCACAAATCAATACATTTACTTCACTATTTGTTAATCAGCACTGCGCGGTAATCGGCACATACGGATGACAGCGTGAGTTACAGAATTGCACGGACACCAACACACGCCAGCTCGCGCCTCTGGCTGAGCGCCCCCGGGGAATACTCAGGCCTCTGTGTGGCTTCTCTGCATCTTCTGGCTGCTCTGCCAGCTCTCGCCACCCGCCCTGGACCCATCCCCTCCCTCCCTGCCGTCCACCCTGCCGTGACAGCCAAAGCAGGGAAGGGCCGGCGAAGGCTGATCACAGGCTCCCAGAAGCCTGGACGCGCCGGCATCTGTCACAGCTGCTTGGATATTCTTCCTAGTTTCAGGTAATGTGCACTTCACTGCCTCAAAGATACTGGCAACTCCTTGGAGACAGGGACCAGGGCTTCTACTTCCTGAGCGCAGAGGGACAGGGCTCAGGAGGAGCAGCTCCGTGAGACTGCTGGGCATGGCACAGCTGGGAGGGACCTGGGGTTCCAAGCCGGGACAGGACGAGCTCACAAACAAATCACAGAGGCTGACACCACAACTACGGCAGAGATGCCCAGAGCACTGTGGGAGCAGGAGCTGATCACCAGGACGGCTTCCTCGGAGGGGTGCTGACCGGTGTGTGCCCCATCCTGGGTGAGGCACTCCAACTTCACTTCACTTCATCCTCGCCAAGGAGGACACTGAGCTCAAAGGCAATGCCCTAGGGAAGTCATAAAGCTGGGACTCAAAGCCAGAGGTGCCTAGCCTTAAAGCCCACTCTCTTCCCTCCGTACGGGTAACCGCCTATGGGGAGGACATCTTCTCTGGGGCTCAAAGACTGGTAAAGAGACCTCCAGAATAAGTGGATCAGCTTCAGAGCAATGTAGAAAAACAAAAACACAAAAACGAAAAACAGAGAGAAACAACAAAAGTACACCATATTGTCCCCAACTTGTCCATCAGCAGTGGCCGGCAGAGCGAACAGAAAGGATGCTAGGAACATGGCTGCGGCGAGAAGAGCTGGCGGAACAAAGGTCGGCTTCTCCTGCCTCCGTTTTCTTGCTCTCTCGGCCAGCGAGGCCAAAGAATATTCCAAAACTTCTTCTGGCGCTGCTGCTTAGTTCCAGAAGAAAAAAAGAAGCCCCAGATGTCTCTAACGCGACTCTTCCTCTGGGCTCTGGGTTCTCAGTTTTGTTTTTTATACTGCAAGACAGAGAGAGGAGAAGCGGGTGAGGGAAGCCAGTGCAGAGGGACCGAACGGGAAACCTGGAACCCCAGTCGCCTGGGCCTCCACCTCCCCCTGCAGGTCTCCTCAGAGGCGGTGACACAGTCAGGTGTCACCAGATGGTCCCTTCCGGCTGCTGCCTGGGCCCTCCTTCTTCCTCAGAGGAGGAGGGAGAGGAGGCTGCGGGAGGGAGGGTAATGCAGAAACGGGCCAAGTTAGAAATGAACACAGATCATCTGTACTACTTTCTAGTCGAGGGTTCCCTGGCTTCTGGGGAGTAAAATCTCAGGCACAGCAGGACCCTCAGAAGCTGGAGAAGAACCCCCAGCTACCTGCTGAGTTAATTAAAAAATGGATCTTAAACGCCGTCTCTGGAGATTCGGACTTAGAAAAATGGGGTCTATTCCAGTTGTCTAGGTTGCTCTGATACCAACTGCATTCCTAGCTCACGGCCTTGCTCCACCCAAACAGCCCCTTGTCTGTTTCCTAGATAACTCAGCCTCGGTGGGACTCCCCCGGGGACAGGGAGCTCCCTCCCCCGCAAGAAGTCCCCCACCCCAAGCATCACAATGCTACCGCCAGCTCCCGCACTTGGCTTCAAGAAGACTATTCTCTTCCTTCTTCCTGTGCCCATCTTAGCTTATTCAACACTGCTAGACAGAAATCTGTCCTTAAGGGTGTCCCTTGGCCCCATCCTGCAGCCAGAGGGACCACCCTCGGCTTTGGGGGTCGGGAGACGCCTCTTCTCACGTGTGAGGCAGGCGCGACCTCTAGTGGCCACAGGGAGTACCGCCATCATCATCATTTCTCTCCCCGTCCCCTCCTCGCTGGTGAGACACTTACTTTGTTCATGACCCAGTCGGCATCTTCAATAGCTCTTTTAATAATCTGCTGGATTCTCTCAGGGTTGTCTTCATCTGAATGAACCCGGAAACTCTGTAAGTTTCAACATAAAGATGACTGCGCAAAATCCACACAGTCGGCAGTCCTAGGCCAGACACAGTGCCGGGCACGTTCTACTCAGCACCTCTGAATCCTCCAAGGCAGTGATGATCCCATTTACGGCTGAGGAAACAGAGGATCAGAAGTCCTACCTTGCTGCTAAGCAGCAGCATTTGAATCCTAGCCTATCTGAACACAAAGCTGGCAATCGTGCTAGCAGGGCAGATGAAAAGGAGGACTGGCACCTGGGCCCAGAGGTCATCAGGTAAGTTGTCAGAGCCCAGAGGAAATTTCCTTCTCTCCATTTAATTTGCTCCTCATGGGAAGCTGCTTTCACTGGAGTGAGATCTCTGCATGGGCCTCACCACAGCGGGGAGGGGGTTGCTCCCAGCCCTGTGCTAGGAGAGGGAGCAGGGGAGGGAGGGGAGGCCATGGCTCGGGAAATCCAGCAGGCCCGATGCAAGGCAGACTGCTGCTGGCAGCCTGAGATTTGGGTTCACCAGTGGGGTGCTCGGGGCCTTCAGAAGGTACTGCAGCCCACCTCCCCTGTCACTCCCAACCCCACACGCGCTCTGCTTGTCCACCACCTCCAACACCTACCCTGGGGAAGCCCTCCCCGACTCCCCCAGATCACTAACATCTCCCTTCTCTGAGTTCCCACAGCTTTCTGTTGCTCCTTTTCTTTGACTTTCTACATTTTTATTTGTTTGTTTGTTTGTTAGAAGACAGGGTCTCACTATGTAGTTCAGGCTGACCTTGAACTCTCTAGGTAAACCAGGCTGTCCTCGAACTCTTGGCGATCCTCCTGCCTCAACCTCCCAAGTGCTGTCTATATTTTATTTGTATGAGTTTAGTTATTAACTTTTATAGTTGGAAATGACTGCTCACAGAAAATTTGCAAAAGTACAAAGAACTCCCTACTAGAATCACCAATTTTAATGTTTTGCCACATTCACTTTATCGTTCTCTTTCTATGTGTATGTATAAGCTCTTTATAGAAGCATTTCAGAGTAGGTGGCAGTTATCCCACCCTTAATCCCTACACACTTCCATGTGTTTCTTAATGATGAATGCATTCTCTTCTAGAACCACAATAACCAAACTCAGAAAATACAATATTGATACAATGCTGTTATCTCATCTACAGCCCATGTTCCAGTTCCACGCGCTGCCCCAATAATGTTCCCTACAGCAATTACTTTTTTCTGGCCCGGGATCCAATCTGGGATGATGCATTACATATAGCTGTCACATCTCTTCGGTCCCCTTAATCCAGAGTATCTCTGCCTTCCTTTGTGTCTATGAAGCTGACATTTGTCATGGGTACAGGCCAGGATGTTCTCTGGAAGATGGTCCCCCAGTTTGGGTCTACCTGATGTTTTGTCAGGGTTAAATCCAGGCTGGCTGAGCACCGTTGGCAAAATGATATGTGTGTCCTATTGTCTGTCTTAACTATCACCAAGCTGCCTTGTTCGTACCCTGGCACAGCGCTGGAGTGCTGAATGATACTCCCGGACAGAAGCCAGAGAGAGGAGCTGGGTTCCCCAGATCGACCTCTAGTGCCTCGTTCCAAACTGCCACCCCCTCCTCCATCCAAAAGACTATCCCTTACCTGGCCTCTGAATCCGCCCCTGCTAGGGCCCATGAAAGGAAGGCTAACCCCCGGAACCCACGGACCCTGCTCCCACCTGCCGGACAGCATGTCTGTAGTGCTCCTGGATGCCCCGGGTCGGCAGCTGCCGGCAACAGCGCAGCAAGTATCTGTAGAGCTGCAGCGGCCTCTGGACCAGCTCTGCCCCCGGCAGTGGGGCCATCAGCGAGACCTCTGTCCTGGAAAACACAGAGCATCACATCCTGGGCATTGAGCCAAGTCCTACGCTGTGCTGGCCTCCAGTTCCCAGCCCTCCTGCCTCCTCGTGACCACCCCACGGGGTCTACACCCCGGGTCAGGACTGTGTGCTCTGGAGAAGCCATCACCACAATCAGGAGTGGACACAGCATCGCTCCCAAGCCATCTCCCGCCCCTTTGCAAACCCTTCCTTCTGCCCTCCCTCCTTCCCCAAGCAACACCAACCTGCTTTCTGCCGCTACCAGTCCATCTGCATTTTCTAGAGTTTTATATAAATGGAAGAATATACCAGGCATGGTGGCACACGCCTGTAATCCCAGCACTCAGAAGGCTACAAAGTGAGCTCAAGGCTCCTGAACTATCTCTATTGTACCTGTGGAACTCATTTTTTCCTGAAATTTCAATTTATTTTAACACACAAAATACAGAAGTATATATATTTATGGAGTATCACGCAACATTTCAAAGCAGGTCTACACGTTTCCTTCAGGTTATATACACTACCCCTTAAACATCTGTTAATTTTTGTACTGTAAACATCTAACATGCTTTCTTCTACAGCCCTTATTTTTAACTTCTGTAGTGTACATGCTCTTTCCAAAGAACTCAGTGTAGCTTGAACTTTGTTTCTGGAGCAAATTATGAAGTATAAATGTTTTCAAGTGGTAGGTTCTAGAGGATGAGGACTTGTTAAATTTTCATTACGTACCCCCAGCACCACCCCAAAGGCTCCTGCCAGAACCTCTGCAAGAGCACCCAGCCTGGTGCTCCTGCTCCTGCCCATCATGCCACACTGACACTGAGCTTGGGAACCAGTGTCACATACCTCAGTCAGCCACAGATCCCAGGACTTCTCCCAGATCCCCCAAACCATCAAGAACATCAGCTCTCAGAACTCCTGCCCCATCTCCTCCAGATGAGGAACCTCACTCACCCTCCCAGGTCCAGCTCGGTCCAAGAATCCCTTCCTGACTGTCCCTCCCCGGGGCGGGGGGGGGGGGGGAGGAATCACTGTCCTCCACAGGACTGAAGCACCCTCTTCATGGGCAACACACTTGCCACTGCCAGAGACTGGGCTGCTACCATGCTGCTGGGTCCCCCAAGGCCAAGAGCCCAGGCCCCGGCCCACAGCAGTCTTCACACACTCCAGTTAAAGTGAACAGCATGAGGCCGGGCGTGGTGGCACATGCCTGCAGCCCCAACACTTGGGAGGCTGAGGTAGGAGGAGACGTGCAAGAGTTTGAGGCCAGCCTGGACTGACTATATAGTGAGTTCAAGGCCAGCCTGAACTACATGGTGAGACCCTGTCTCAAAAATAAATGAGTAAATAAATAAAATAAAAAAGAAGAGCATAAATCCACTATATCCTCTATGTAAATTTCCCCTCTATGAGAGAAAGGCCCCCTACCTTGCAGATGGAGCTAAAAGACAAATTAAATGACTAGCAGAGTTTTAATGCAATATAAAAAGAGAGAAAGGCAATCCTCACTCAACCCCCCACCCCCAGGAGAGAACCAGATACCAAATCTATCAGATGTTCTTACACTAAGGAAGGAAACTTATTAAGAGGCTGGGTTCTGAGGCTCCTTCGTTCCATTTCTAGCGTATTGTCTTCCCTGCAACAATAAATGGGTCTTCACAGCTAAGCTAGCCAATTCCTCCAGGTCTCCAGGCTTTGGCTCCGACAGTGGCGCACACAGGTGGTCCCTTTCCCACCCATTGTCTCACTGTGTTAACAGCCACTCTGCACAACTCAGGCTGCACCCCTCCCCATGTCTCAGCTTGCCTGACCAATCAGAGCCCTGCAGTCACGTGAGCCCAGGGATTGGCTCACAGGTGTGCACATGCCACAAGCTGGTCCAATCAGAGTGAATTTCAACACCCAGGCAGGAAGAACTAGAATAAACTCCCGCTCTTTCCCACTACACTTTATGCTGAGAGGACATACTTCGTCAGAGAAGCCAACTTGCCTCCTCTGGAACCAGAGTCACAGCAGGGGGCAAAGCTGAGATCCGAAAGAAACCAAATCCCAAGACCTCATTTGTGCCGAAAACATCCACCTGAAGGAAGCCCCAGCCTTAGACCTCTCAGTGATCTGTGCCATGTAACCCTGCTTAGCTAAAGCAGGTTGGGTTTGTTGTTTTAGCAAAGTCCTAATGATAGACAGATCCGGCATCCTCAATTCTGCTTTCCTGTGCGCGGATCGTTCCAGCTGTCAGGAAGTATCTAAACATGGTAAGGTACTGCAAGTTCCTGCCGCCACGAGCCCATCAACTCACCAGTCTGACTTGCCATGCGTTAGCCCAGCAGAGGGGAGCCCCATACGGTGCTGGCCAAGACCTTTGTGCACCCCACAAAGTCCCCAACGTGATGGACGGTCTCCCCTGGCAGGCTTCCCCAAACTATATAAAGTGCTAATCAAATATTGTAAAATGCTAGTCAGATAACAGATGGTTACCATCTGCAGCCTTCAAAATTAACATTTGGAAAGAGCACAACTTTGTTTCATTACTTAAAAACCCAAGCAATACTTAGTAACCAACCCAGCGAGTATGGGCGGTAGCTTATTTTCAGCTCAATTATAATACTTAGTCATGCCCAGTAATAACTAGTAGAGAATACATGTGTGGGTCCACTTAAAAGAGCTCAACTAAAAATGTTTTAATTTAATTTAATTTAAAGTGTGGGTTTGCTATTATTTAAGGGCCAATGAACTTCACAGTATCATTGCTAAAGCTACAGTCAAGCCCTGTGTGGCCCTGGAAATGCTTGCATTCCTTACCCTGCTGTGTGCACTTGACATTAGCCTCCTACTCAGCTCGCTGCCTCCGTGATGACACCTCTGTCTCCCAGGCAACCAAGCTAAAATCATCAGCCTCAACTCAAGTCCTCCTTCTCCCTCAAGGCCCAAGCTACTGGTTTCTAAGTCCTGTAAAATTCGACCTCTAGGTCTGCTCAAATTTGCCCCCGACCTCGATACAAACTCTTACCCTATCTCAATTCCAACAGTCCCTCAGTGGGTTGCCCTGCCTTCCAGGCCGTTTCCTTCCGGTCTGTTCTCCACCTGACAGGCAGAGTGACTTTGAAACTTACATCTCAGAATATCTTGTCCTTTCCTAAAACCCCAAACACCCACCCTACTCCCTAGCATTCATGGCAACTTTTCCCAAAATGCGGGACGAATTCCTGAAATTACTTTAAGCAGTTTATGGATCAACATCTTTCTATTGTAAAGACTTTATATTTATTTCCATGTTATAAGAAAATATCCTAACACTTCAGAGGTATTATGACTTAAAGCAACTTTTTAAAAGGAGCACAGAATTTTTTAGAATGTACCAAGCAGTTGAAATGTGGATGAGGCAGAAATCATGACAGTGGCACTGAAGTTTAGAAAGCACTGTTCTATAGAATAAAATCCAGACTCTCCCATGGCCTCTAGGGCCCTTTTGACCTGGCCCTTGCCAACCCCTCAAAACCTCTCAAACTCAAGCCAACCCTAGGCAACCTGAGCCTTAAGGGGCACATGCATGACGTTGTGTTCCTGCACGGCCTCGGCACTGTGACGGAGTGCTTGTGCAGGAAGCAGGTACGTTAAGGTTCTCTGAGAAACAGAACCAAAGAATGTGATGTGTGTGTCTGTGCGTGGGGTGTATGATTTATTATAAGGAACTGGCTCACGTAATCAGGGAGGCTGGCAAGACCAAAATCTGCTGGGCCAATGTCTGGGTTCTAATACAAAGCCTGGAAGCCACTGGGTCCCAGTTCAAAGGCAAGAGAATTCTCTCTCCCTCTCCATCTTTCTAGCTAGTGGACTGAAGGAAGCCCTCCCACATTAAGGAGTGCAATCTACTTGACTCGATCTACCAATTTAAATCCAAAAACCACCTTCACAGAAACAACCTGAATGGCCGACCAAACACTTGGGTACCACACAGCCCAGTCAACTTGACACATAAAATTATGCTTCCCGGTAGAAAGCCAGCATCTATCTGTTGAAGGAATTCTCCCACATCTCCCTAGGACACCCCTCTCTGCTTCCGGCAGATCATCTCATTCAGCCACACTCAGCACTGGGGCTGGCGCCTCCTCCTAGCGGCCCTCACTGGCCCAGCACTTCACACCATGTCAGAGGGAAGCCTAAGGTGACCCCAGAACAGCCCTCATTACCCGACAGTACCCTTGCCCAGGCTTCCTACGTAGGCTCTCATAGATTCCTACAAGGGGAGCCACCAGCCCCTGCCAGCCATGCTCACAGGGTGTCACTGTGCTTTATCAACTTCCCGACTGCACATTAAATGATACTGTGAATGACTGTTCATCATTAGTTTTCTTGGGAAGACTAATGATGTTGCGGTTCTGTGGAAAATGTCCTAATTCTTAGACATGCAAGTGGAAGTTGTTTTTATTTTGTTTTGAGACAGGGTCTCACTAGGTAGTTCAGGCTGGGCTTGAACTCACTATGTAGCCCAGGGTGGCCTCATGGTGATCCTCCTGCCTCAGCCTTCTGAATGCTGAGATTACAGGTGTGCACCACTACGTCCGGCAAGTGGAAGTATTTAAAGGAGATGCGACATCAAGTCTGCAATTTATTTTCAAATAGTCCAGTAAACGCAGTGAGGGAAGAAGGGAGGGAGGGAGAGAGAGAGGGAGGGAAGGCAGGAAGGAAGGAAGGAAGGAAGGAAGGAACGAAGGAACGAAGAAACGAAGAAAGAAAGGAAGGAAGGAAGGGGAGAAAGAGGGAGGGGAAAGAATAAGAAAGATAAAGAAAAATGGCAAAATGTTAGGGCTGTTTAGTTGTGAGAAGTGGACCTTGTGCTGTTACTTTAACTTCTGTGTACTATCTTTTGAAATTTTTATAAAAAGTATAGAAACCTCCCTAGCAGGAAGTCATCCCTTAGCATACTCCCTCAACATACTCCCCTAGCAGCAGGGAACTCACAGGCACTCCCATTTCCTTTTGCTCAAGCTGTTGGGAAGTCCCTCTGGTTCTGCACTAAAATCTGCTGCTGTAAAATTCTATTCATCGGTCTAAGCTCTGCCCTTTGCAGCTAAAATGTTCCCTCACCTGGCCCCCAAGTCCAGGTTCTCATTACCCAAAGCCGACTAGCATAGCCCCAATTTCAACACAGCCATCCAGAAGGTGACAGCTTCTCCCAAAACATCCCATCCCACCTGCCCTCCTCTGGATGCATTTCCATTAGCGACATCACTCTTAAACACAGGGCTGCGCTGGCCAGGGGAAAACAACAGCTGGGCTGTGTTCTAGGCAGTTCCACGCGCAGTGGCACAGTGGCCTCCTTTGACCTGGGAATTCAA